AAACAAGTGTGTGAATAAATGTTTTATGCATACACCGGCATACAGATAGCTCTCATTCCCCCTTGTTATGCTTGTTTTACGCCTATATCTTATCAACTTTCAGTTACTTATGCATGTGAGACATTACTTGTCCTCCTTGACAGCACTTGAGCACATCTATATGCTATGAAGAAGAGCAGCTAAAGTAGAGCATTATGCACAACTGATCCCCTTTCTTCTTCTACATATCAACGACCTTGTGTGTCAGCAGTATCATATAGAACACATGCATCATACAGCAGGAGGCAGCTGCCCGCCGAGATTAGTGTGTGTGTGTGTTTTTGAAGGAGAGTGAGTTAGAAGATGTGGGTTCTTGCTGAGTAGAAATGTGCATATACTGTACACAGTGAACTAAAATCCTTTACTTAAAGGTGGGGTATGTAATTTATTTCAGAAACACTTTTTGTTATATTCCATGGAATGCTCTTAACATCCCGATAGCAATGAATATCTTAAGTGCTTTGACAATAAATACATAAACAATATGTCATCTGTGGAAGCCGTGGCGCTGTAAAAAGCACGACCAATCATTTGAGCCGGCTCGGCTAAAATAACTGGATGGCCTACCTGCCTGTCAGCCTTCCATCTGTGCACAAACTTATCTCGTGCCCTCATTGGTCATGTGCGCGTCCGTGTGTGTTGGAGGAGGGGCTCTGTAAGGAAGTGGGAGATTTTTTCCGGTTGTGTATTTGTGCGTGCGTTTGGTCCTTATAGCTGGTGGAGAGATTATACAGGTGCTCAGTTTCATTCTGCCTCTGTACACACTCTGTTGTGGCTTTAGTGTGTGTGTGTGTGTGTGTGTGTGTGTGTGTGTGTGTGTGTGTGTGTGTGTGTGTGTGTGTGTGTGTGTGTGTGTGTGTGTGTGTGTGTGTGTGTGTGTGTGTGTGTGTGTGTGTGTGTGTGTGTGTGTGTGTGTGTGTGTGTGTGTGTGTGTGTGTGTGTGTGTGTGTGTGTGTGTGTGTGTGTGTGTGTGTGTGTGTGTGTGTGTGTGTGTGTGTGTGTGTGTGTGTGCATGGATGAGTGCAATAAGGACCACTGATTATATAATGTGTTTTGAAATGCTTCAGCAACACCAGTCAGATATTGTTAGCTTGCTCTCAGATACAGACACAGGGGGTGTTTCTCAATGTCGAGGAAGGCTCCTCCAGAGCCACTATTTCAAGGATGCTACGTCATCGAGTCCCGCCGAAGGACTGTTCCAATGTCTAGGATCCTTGGAATTCTACCGAGGCCGGCGTCCTTCGTTGCGGGAAATTTCGAGGCTGCACATGTGTATCCTCCGCGGTCCACCATTCTTCAATTCCGAGGCTAGGAAGGATTCTTGCCTCGCTTCTGAAGGACTCGGAAGACATGTCCTACCAAGGAAGCGTCCTCGACATTGAGAAACACCCAGGGACTCAGTAAATCCTCCTATGCCATTTACTTATCTTGTGCATACACTTATTATTTATAGCTATATATTTTTTATCGGTAATCTCTATTTTTACTCTAATTTGTTATATTAAAACTTTACTGTTGATCAATTCTATACATTTTTTAATTAACATTTAACTACTCTTATTTAAAAGGAGGAATTTTCCATTTATTTTAATTTATATTTATTTACATTGTTTGTATTTTATAGATGTACAAACAAATGATCATTGTGACACTTATGATTAATAGGACTAATATTGAAAAAACACAACATACTTTAATTAAATTGTTATTTTCACAATGTTTATGTTACAAATAATAGCTGTAGTGTTGTAAGAAAATATTGAGTTGATATGAAATGGCTCTTTTAGTGACACTTAGATGGGATGCTTTGTGATTTTATTAGCCAAGCTTCTTATTTTAGCGACGTTATCTCTCACTCTATTTACTTAAACACACAATGCCTGCACACAACCCTGATATTATTATTAACTTGGACCACCTTCAGTCTGTTCCTATCCATCGCAAAATATAGTAAAGTCGTGCTGCAGCCACTTCCTGTGTACCAAACAACAATAACCCCGTCTATTTACTGCAGCATCAGTAAAAAATAACTAGCTTTGGGTGTACTACAACAAACTTCTTTCAGGTGTGAGTGCACTGTAATGTTTGATGTTGCTTATCAATCATAACGGCTTCTTATGGCGCTCAGACTTCACGCCGTAATAATAACGCTGAAGGAAGTGGCCCATTTCCAGCCTGTGGGTTCTGCTAGTGTCCCGGTGAGTTGTAGTTGAAACACACAGTTGAGCATCTATGGCCTCTGGCTGTTGCATTAAAATATATATGGCTTTACATCACCTCAGTGTGCATTTCTGACAATGCTGCTGCATTTTACATGACCAGACCAGTGTATAAAAGCCGCATTTCATAATGGTAATGGTTGTGTATTACTCTGCATTATGGAACCAGGAATAATATCTCACAGGTTACTATGTTGCCTTAACTCTCTCCTGGTTTAATAGGAGTCTGCTCGGGAGAGGGCGGAGGCTTTAAAAGCAAATAAAGCTATATCTTAACTCCCCTGGGCTTTAAAAAGTGCTGTTAAAGCTTTCGGCCTAATACAATCGCACCGTCCAGCCCACAACCCCTGACACACAGCAGCTCGCCGCGACAACAGAGCGCCGATCAATAAAAATAAGGCGGCTAATAAAAGGCCAATCCCATAAAATCAGCTCTCCATCTGATTAAGAGACATATTACGGCTCCAGATACACCACACTCAGACATTCTTACTGTAGATCTCATAAGTTATTACTCATTTTCCCTACATGCAAGTATATCGTCACACACACATGCAGAAACAGGCACGGGTATAGCACTGAGCCCCTATGGAATTACTAAGAACAGCTTTCAGACAGCAAAGAATGTGATATTGTAATACTGGCTGAGCAATACTCCTGCTGAGACAAAGACTCAAAGAGACAGTTTTTGTTTTAAAACATGATATATGGGAAAGTGATGGAAATGAGCCATACAAGAGATGTGATGCAAGAGAATAAAACAGCACCACTAGAAAAGCTTTCCACCAGGAGTCCATTTGTAGGATTTGAAGTCGAGTTTGTAGTTAATCGCAAGTGAGGATGATGGCGACCAATTTTACAACCTCAGTTAATCTGAACCGATGCAGCTGCCAAACAACCCTAACTAAACCTAACCCTGAAATCTGAATAATTGAAACCTAAACATTACAAATTCCGATTCTTCCATACCGGACACAACATACAGTAATCTTTGAAGTATTCTGATGTGGAAACCTATTTATACCATCATTCCCTCAGCTAGGATGTTATGTTTGTCTCTTGGCAGGATTGAGCAATAAATAATGGCCCAATTTTAACAAAAATAGACGTGAGAGTGTAGCATGGTCAAAGGTTGAACAAAAATATTTAGGACCTGGTTGAAATTACAGGGCGGTTACATGCATTAAGTTTCACTGTATATACCGGACACAACATAATCTTTGAAGTATTCTGATGTGGAAACCTATTTATACCATCATTCCCTCAGCTATTTACCCCCTGTAAGGATGTTATGTTTGTCTCTTGGCAGGATTGAGCAATAAATAATGGCCCAATTTTAACAAAAATAGATGTGAGAGTGTAGCATGGTCAAAGGTAGAACAAAAACATTTAGGACCTGGTCGAAATTACAGGGCGGTTACATGCATTAAGTTTCACTTCCGTTAACATTACATTTCGCCACCTTCATGTGGTCGATGGATTCATGTAGTGCTTCCCAAATGGGATACGTAACAGAATAAGCTAAACATGTTGTTTAAATACAAATACAAACCCATCTTCCTTGCAGCATCCATATGTTTCCACATTACGACTTATGAAAGGGATCCTTATCCTGCATAGTCACAAGATCTCAAGACAATTGATTTCCAGTGGGGATTTTGGACTGGCCTTCTAAAAGTATTTTTCCACAACACCATGTAAACACCAAATAATAGAGTCTCTTGTTGTCCATCACACTGGTTAAGTTCAGTACACGCCTAAGCAGCACAGAAGCTTTTCTACCTGCATGTGTTGAAACACTTCGTTGGGTTTTTCCTTTAATTTGTCACATGGCTGCCACCACTGTGCACCTCTCGCCTGTCATATCACAATGCTTTATGTACACCATTCAAGTGGGAACAGGCACACAAACATGTCGGAGTTGACCCTTCTCTCTTTACAGGAGTTCATCCATGATGTCCTGGTGTGATTCATGCTACAGTGCCACATTCTTAAGCAACACTATTCATGCAAGGACACATTCCTCCTGCTATTTCACTGCACTCCATGTGTGTGTGAGAGTGTGTTTTGCAATGATTTTACTTGTACTGCTGTGCATGTCATCCACTGATTCTTAAAAGGTCATTACAGTAAGAAAATATATCAGGCTCATGTTATGACAAGCAGTTTTGAAGAGGCGCTGCTCTTACTTTTGTATATACTGTGTTGCTAGTGTACGATTTTTATGGTAATTGTGTTCTCCGGGTGTTTAGTTGTCAGCGCCCTTGTGTGCGTATGTGCTTTCTGCTTTGGTTACAGGTCTGTTTGTACACGTCTTGCTTTTTAATTTGGAAGTACTCGGCAGTAGAAATCTCTAGTGGTCCCAGATCGGTGCCTTGGGTCTCACCTCTGGCTTCTGCGACGGGTGTAATTAGCGAAGTTTCCCTTTGTGTTGCTCTCTTCAGTTATGTGTTGGCTCGTCTCCCACAGTATTTGTAGTCTGTCACTGTTAATGAGCGTGTGTGTGTGTGAGCGCACAAAGCTGCGAGGAGACATCACACACCCACTGCTCTCTCTCACAGCTTTAACACTCCATTAGATAATTAAGGCAGAGGGGGGTGTTTTCGTAACATCCAAATTCAGACATTACCATTAATTAGTGTCAAAAGAAAAGGACTGTTTTGCTAAAGCACTTAAGTATAAAGGGAAAACATCTCTTTACCTTGTCATTAACGCGCTAAATGATCTGTTTGTTCTTCACAGGCTGCAGAGAAGATGCTCGTCCAAGGAGAAGAGCTTTGTCCTGGCATCATGTGATCGGCGCATTCCCGAGGAGCGCTCCGCAGTGGAAGAGTGAATCTCCGCTCCCGTGGAAACATCACGGCCACTAAGCAACCCCATCGCCACTATCCCAACTCCTGCACTGCAGCCGTCAAAGTCACCTGTTCTTGCCTCAACTTGCCTCCTGTCTCTTTTTACGCCCCCCCCCCCCCTTTCATCTTAACGATAAGGAATGGCCTTGCTAGTTTCCAGCCACCCCGACGCCTCTCGCAAATAAGACCTTTCAAACGGTTTCACAATACCAGAGAAAGGAAGGATAAAACACTCTACAGTCCTCTTGTATACTTCTACCTTGTGTATCTTTGTACACCCTTAACACACACATTCATAAACCAGCAGGATTTTTTTTGTGCAATCACTGCAGCCTTTTTAAGGACGCCATTACTCAAGTTTCCAAATCATAAGGAGATTTTTTTTCCCGCTTGGCAGTCTATTGGAATATCTACTCATGCAGAGCCCCTATGGGGGATTAAACCAGGAATCCACACTGACTTCTATTCGCCTCCGTTAGATCTTTTTACGGTGGTCTTTCTGTGACTGGAGGTGGACTGAGCCATCATGGCAGGGAAGGGCAACCCTCACCTCCATGGCTTCCCCATGCCCACTTACTCCTACTTCTTCCCCCACATGTTGGGGAGCCTGTCCCCACCAGCGCTCGCGGGACTCCCCATGAGTGGATACAGCACCCCCTCACCAGCAAGTAAGTCATATTTAGCTTGTTTTTGCTCACTCTCTACTGGCTCATGTTTCAGATGTTTGACTGTGCCATGCTCTGGGTATTGTTCAGATTGAGTAACAGTGAGGTGGTTGCAGGAAGATTCACTTTCCTTTGTGTGTGTTCTGGTTACCTGTGCAGCTGTGGCACACTAGTTTCCTGTATAGCTCCTCCATTGTGTGTGTGTGTGTGTGTGTGTGTGTGTGTGTGTGTGTGTGTGTGTGTGTGTGTGTGTGTGTGTGTGTGTGTGTGTGTGTGTGTGTGTGTGTGTGTGTGTGTGTGTGTGTGTGTGTGTGTGTGTGTGTGTGTGTGTGTGTGTGTGTGTGTGTGTGTGTGTGTGTGTGTGTGTGTGTGTGTGTGTGTGTGTGTGTGTGTGTGTGTGTGTGTGTGTGTGTGTGTGTGTGTGTGTGTGTGTGTGTGTGTGGGAACATGTTGATGTTCCTGTGAGCCTGCATGGCAAAAGGACACTTTCATCTCCCCCTGTTTAGATTATTCATATTTGAAAGACGTGTGTGTTCGTAAAAGAAAAAGCGGCAGCGACACACACATCCACGTCGCCTCCAGTGCTGTCCTTAATTTACAAGCCCACACACATCAGCACACACACACACTCATTGAACTGTCAGCGTAGATCACAAGGAAATGAGCAAGACAGCCAGAATGAGCATTGTTTATTTGGGCAACACACATTTGGCGAGTGTTCCTAAAATAAATCACAGAAACTATCGTCGTAGCCAACCTTGATGCTGCAACTCCTTTGAACCATCCATCAAACCTTCAGAAATGACTTGCAAAGTTATTTATTTTGCAAACTAAGTGAAAAAATACTTTTTCATAAGGGAAGAAAAGCTGTCTGCAGTCAATTGATTTTGATTTGAAAAGCGGTGAAGAAGGTATTCAGATAAAAGTGTTATCACATAAAAATACTTTATAAGTCCTGCATTGTATGTTTTATTTCAGCACAAGAACTGAGGTATTATCCGAAAAATACAAGGCTGATTTCAGCAGTCATGTTATGTGATGCACAAACTTATGTTAATGTTGGAGCAGCTTGAGATAAATTCATCTCTTTTACATGCTGTGCCTCTTTTCATATCTTTCTATTATTTTGGCGTTATTGCTTTCATTTGTCAGATGACAGTGTAGACTTAGGAAACATTTGCTTTTGAAGTGAATCTCCATGTGAAGAGAAAGTAAAAAAACAAGGACTGCCAGATGGATGAGATCATTTCAATATAACTCTCAACTCTCAATTTATTTCCTGGAGGTGAATTTTAGTATTTTTGGAAGACAGGCTGCGGCAGATTGCAGCATTCAAAAATAAAGAATAATGACACCTCATACTGGCAGTTTTCACCGAGACACACATTGAAATGCACCGGTATATTTTTCACTTACTTTAAGCTAATAAGACTATGAATATGGAGCCAAAAAGTGAAATCTGAAATATTATACTGGTACAGTCCCTGTATCTCTCAGCAGACTGGGCATCATCGACAAACGGATAGAGAATCAATGAAACAGCCGTGGCAGCAGCAGAAATATGAACTACAGGAGAGCCGCAGGCGTGCAGACCTCTCAGGTTCAGAGGGGGTCAGCGTATTGACTTTCTATCTGCCGGAGTTTGCGTTGGCAGTCAGCTCGGAGGGAAGTGAAAAACAGTTAGTGCCCTGCCCAATCACTCCCACTTCCCCAATACCAGATACCCCACCTCACTCACAAAGGCTGCAGCTCCCGCCAGATTCCTCTTTTCTACACACGAGTGTCTGAATGTGTGTGTGTGTGTGTGTGTGTGTGTGCGTCAGGCCCAGTGTTTGGCATGAGAGCTCCTTCCCTTTTGCCTGGACAAACATTTCCTGTCTGTAAACATAGGAGAGTTGAGGACACCACAGCGTCCACACACGCAGAAACAGAAACATAGTCTTTGCCCTTCATGCCGGCTCACTTTCCTTCACTGCCGCTCCTCCTTGCATGCAGATAACTGCAGGCACAATTCACACATGCTCACACAGCAACAGGAACACATGCGTTTCCTTATACACACACACACACACTCTCTCTCTCTCTCTCTCTCTCTCTCTCTCTCTCTCTCTCTCTCTCTCTCTCTCTCTCTCTCTCTCTCTCTCTCTCTCTCTCTCTCTCTCTCTCTCTCACACGCACACGCACACCAACTACAGCTAAGCCCTCTCCAACCCATATTCAATGCTGAGAAGTGACGAAAGAGAGAAACAAAGAGAGAGGGTGCTGAGAGAGAGTCAGTTTGTTTGAATGAGAGGAATTGACAAAATGTCAGATTGGAGGCATGAGCGCCGAGCATTGGTCTTGATGGATTTCAGCAGAGCTTCCAGTGGAGGCTAAATTTAAACAGCTGTTTGTGTGTATGTGCACTCGTCCCCTTGGTTGTGTCCTTGTGTATTTTGTTATTGTTTTCATCCTTATCATTTTGAAATGCTCTTACCGTATAACCGTATAAAAGCATTTGACGTGGTTAATCAGTCAGCCATTGGTTTATGGACTAACGTTTTGAAGCCTTGAGTATGACGTTTTCGCTATTTTTTTCTTTTGGGGAACTGAATGTTCTTTATTTAGACGAGAGGGTGAGGCGGGAGAAATCAACTCCTTATCATTTCTTTTAGTACAACCGAATGCGGAATAACACTGCAGAAGCCACTTGTCAATCACAAGGTAGTCACGACCTAAACCATACATTATTTTGAATCTTTTTTTACGAAATAAACATCATTTACTTAAACAAGATTCATGAAAAGTTAGGTCTCATAGACTTTAATACAATCAGTGGAGTCCCCCTTAGCTGGCTATAAGGATATCATGCTGTATTGAGGAAGCCTTGAAACTAGCAATAGAGCCCATTATGTTTACATTGGTAGTAAATCAAGTTGGTCATTTTCTCATAGACTTCATACAATCAGACTTCTTTACTTGTGGTTGCACGTGGATTGGATTTACAACCGGTCCACCTGATCGGATCATCAATATGTCTTCAGTCCATGAACACCTGTATTTATACCTGTATTTTTCTTCTATGTGACTGAAGTTCAATCATGTATGATGCAGGTATAAATAGTTGATGTAAAAAGGAGCATGTCATGAATCCTACAGCCTTATTTTCTAATACTGAACAATGCTTTGGAATTGAAAAGTCTTTTTTTTTTACACTCATCATCCTCCCCCATATTCTCAGAGTTGTCCAGCTCTTTTTCCTCTGCCTTCTTTAGCAAACCACAATAGACCAATTATTTGGACCAAGCAGAGCAGAAGGGTTAATCCAGGCCTTACAACACTCTCTCTCTTTCTATGTCTCTCCCGCTCGAGCCTCCTGGGTTATGTCTTCACATCACATTATCTGAAAATCATCAGGTTAGGTTACGCACCGGAGCAGATCAGTTGCACATATTGATATTACATTTATTGCCTGCAGCTTTATTAGTGAACTGAATATTATCAGCAGGGATTGAGCTCAGGTGCACGCTGCTATATCGAACACTGCCAAAAATCTACATCCAATAGAAAATGTGCATTACACACTCACATGTGCACAACTTTCATTAGCGTTTTCCATTTAATCCTTCGCACGTCAGTATGAATATGGAACTATCTTGAGTTAACACCCCGTCAATTGATCCCGGTATTATCATTAAAGCCTTCCGCGCTCTGTCACCAGCCTTAACACTGTGCTATCGCATTAGCACAGTGTTATGAGGGATCGTAATGAATGTAGCCAGCTTGCTACCTGCTGCCACGGCGGACTAATTGGCTTTTCCCCACAGAGCGCTCTTGTTTCAGCAGCGAAAGTAATTGCTTGGTACAGCAGCGTTTTGGTAAGATGGCTAACACACACGAGAACCATCTCTCTTGACTTATTAGGGGGCATTTATGACATTTATGAATGTCCTTTTGGGCCACAAGGAGAAATATGTAAGAACCTCAAGGAAGCTTGTGTGTATGCGTGTGTCACATGTCCCATTAAGCAGCCCATGGCGGAATGCTCTGACCACGGGTAAATATGAATATGGTAATGTTGGGCAAAGTGAGTGTTTGTGGGATTGTGTGTGTGTGTGTGTGTGCTGGTTTCTGGACAGACAGGTGGTTCCTCTCTGCCCCGGTGGTCTGCAGGAATCAAGGGGGCATGTCAGTACACTCCATGGGTGGCAAAAACACACTCTTTTTCACACACACACGGCATAATGACAGCGAGGAAAAACTTGCCGCATGCTCCCTTTTGGCAGCAATCCAAAGTGTGTTGATAGGGAAAAAAACACGCAAGCTATTGACCCGAGCACCTTTTCTTTCAGGCGAACAGGTAGCAGCCACTTCAGAAACACACACACACATACTCATAGACAAAACGGTACCTCGAGGGGGGCTGGTTGTCATGATTGGGAAAGTCATTTGAGGGGTGCCGATACTCTTGATGGCAGGGATACGGGCTTATTAAACGCGTGGTGTAAAACACATCTAGCACGGCAGCGTAGCACTCATTCACCGCAGCTTGACGACCTTGTTAATTAACTGCAGAGTGCCGGGAGGAAGAGAAATGAGCTCAAGGTCTGTCCTATTCTTACATTTTCAAAGAGGTAATTGTCTCTGATGCTGCTTTTGAGATGCTTAGCACAACCCAGGGAGTTGAAAAGTTGTATCCTCCGTATCGAATCAGATTACAGATTGGTTGCTTTCAATTAGTTTGATTCATTTTGAATGACTTTATTCAGTAACGCACAGGCTATTCATGATGGGTTTCAATTGGAAGTTGAGTTGCTATTTTATTTTTCATCACCTTGGTCAGGGTTTTAAGCAAGCTAAGTGATCAGTTGAGTATCCTGCCTACATTAGGAGGGAACTATCTGCAGTGGAAATAGAGAAAAGGGCCATTTCAGAGTAGAGTCAGCAGTGAATGAGGCATTAGAAAATGTAGCTCCTAATACTGAGCTTTTTTAAACTCAAACCTCTATTAGTAAACATGCTGA